ACTTTGATTGGTACAGTACATATATGTTTTATTGTGTGCACATGTATACACTGTTGTTCTCCAGACAGATGATCAATGTGGGATAGTCTAATTTCCTCTAAGAGGAGACACTGTTTTCTTAAAAAACAAAGACAGAGGGTTGGAAGCGCCATTCCTTTTTGTCCTTCTTTGGATTTCCTTTTTATTTAATGAAGTACTCCCAAAACAAGACTGATTGCAGATGTTTAAAAAATAGTCTTATATGTTGGTTACTGTTGGCATGGCAATCATTCACATTATGTCAACAAATGCCAAACATTACGCTTTTATCCAAAGCGACTTACATACTCAATACTGTGGGCAATCCCCACAGGAGCAATTTGGGGGGAAGTGTCTCAGGGACACAACGACATGCTGACTGCAGTGGGGTTTGAACCTGTGACCCTCTGATCCGAACACAAACGCACAACCCACTGCGCCACACACCTCCCTGACAAATCCAAAAAAACTATTGATTTGACCAACACGTTGTAACCACAGCTTTATTTAGCTTCTTGCTTTTAGACAATTTTCTAAACACTGACCCTAGCAACAAAGGTGTATTGACGATGATTAATCTTTTCAGTTTTCGGTCGTATGATTTGATTTTGAGTGTTATGATGGATTTCAAGAAAACAAAATACCAAAGCAAAAGACTTTGAAACAAGTTTGTAACCAACTTTTTATATATGTTATTAAGTTATTGTAAAAACACCCTCATGTTTCTGTAACCGGCTCACTAAAGCTTCAAAGTGATGTTGATTTTTTTGCCCCCAACAGATGCACTATTTAGTCAATTGATGCTTGATACGTGCTACAGTTCACATTTGTTTTAGGTAAAATAAACTTTAAACTATAAATATGTGCATGTATTTCTATGTACAGTATAACCCTGTAGGCTGAAGGAGTGTCCAGAATAGGGCAATAAAGGTAGTAAAGTAAAAGAGTATTGATAGATGGACTCAGGGGTGGCCAACCAGTCAGAGGTTAAGAGCCACATCAAACACAGTCACTGATACCGCTTGTTTCCGTTTTTTAGTTTTCTGGAGACAAGATTTCAACCACGTCACTGATGCATTTTTGTGGCATTGGGATATTTTTTAAATCCTCTGGAGCAGAGAGAGGAGCTGTGGACTATTGTTATTGATTAATGCATCAGTGTTTCTTAGGGTCAAAAACACTAAACTCACAACTTGAAATGAAAGCGTTTAGTTTATTTAATAAAAGAGCACATGTTCAATGTGAAAAGTGACAGTAGTTATAGATTATTTGCAATTTGGTGCTATATATATATTTTTTTTTAAATGATATATATTTTTTAAACACCTTGAATTTTAGGGGGGGGTGGGGCTCCGTTGGCGGGGCGCAGCGCCCCTCCAAAACAATGGTAGGGGAAACACTGGATAGTGTTTAATCAACGATAGGTTTCCCCCCCTCAAAGGTGATTGGTTCACTGCATCGCAGGTATTATTGTGATTGGCTCTTGGGCCACATCAAAATTAGACTTGCTGTCATCCTCTCATACTGACACCTGACACCACACATACACACCGGGAGCCGGGACGAAAGTAACACGGGACGAAAGTAACGGAGCGATTTTATCCGAGCCCAAACAACTTTGACCGGCCAAATTACGTTAATACTTAACAGACCTACTAAATATCAGGTTTAACTGTCAGGAGTAGCTAGTGTTGTCACGATACCAACATTTTGGTTTCGATACCAAGTCAAGAATTGCGATTCCGATTCTTTTTCGATACTTTTCTTAAAAAACAGTCTTAAATGTAATTATTGTGCTTTATTTCACACCAGAACCATAACCATAACACAAACTTTTAAACAATGAGAACAATAAATTAAATAAATGACAAGATTTCCTATTAAATACAATTAATACATTTCTTACAGACAGGCCTCGTGGTGTCCGTAGGCTTGCCCTCACTGTCAGAGATATAGCTCAAATACTTCCAAATTTAGCTTCTGGCGTCTTTTTTGTCAACAAGCCGAGGCGCAGCGGCAGTTGCACTCCCACTTTTGCAGCCATGCTTCTAGTTTTCTCACATGCTCTGGCAGCTAGCACTTATGGCGCATTTCCACTGCAGCGGGTAGCCCCGTTTAAGCGTCCTTAACCGTCCTCAAGCGGCCAGGCCAGTTTTTGGTGGCCTTTCCATATAGCCTAGTACCGGCTAGCGGGTACTTTTTCCCTCTTTTTCCGGCCCCATAAAATCGTGGTTCTATCAGACCAGGACCAGGGCTGAACTAGTGACGTCAACACTCTCGACTGCTGATTGGTCAGAGAGAATCGTCACAAGATCGCGCGCAAGTTCATCCCTAGCGTCGCATATATATTTAGAAGCAAGCTTGCAGCATTTTTATAAACAGCATTTTGTAAACGGAGGAGCTACAAAAATGGCTACGTCTAATAAGAAAAGCACACCGTGGTCGACCGAGGAGGTGACGACGTTCCTACATCTCATTGGGGATGATCAAATCCAGCGGGAGCTCGACGGAACAACTCGAAATGTGAACAAAAACAAAGCCGATCGCCCCGCCTACACTGCGTTGCTACCCCAGGTCCTAAACTGTAATGGAAATGCGCCACGGCCTGGGCCGGCCAGCGAGGCAGCCCGAGGCCTGAGCGAGGACGCTTAGGGACGCTTAAACGGGGCTACCCCGTTGCAGTGGAAATGCGCCATTAGAGCGTGCTTGAGAGGGGCGGGACTGCAGGCACGGCTGCAGGCAGGGAGTGGAAGCAGAGCGCTGAACACACACGGCTCTTATTAAAACAGCGCTTTCTCACCGGAGTACTTTCCCCCTTCATTCTTAAAGTACCGATACTAATGAAACGGAGGAATCGTAACATTTTTAACGGCAGGGTATCGCGGTACCTTTCAAGTATCGGTACACCGTGCAACACTAGTCAGGAGTCAGTGTCTCTCCCCCAAACTCACACATATACAATTCGATATGAACTGAAGAGCCGCATGAAACTAGGCAAAGAGCCGCATGCGGCTCGAGAGCCGCGGGTTGGCCACCCCTGGACTATAGCATAGTTGGTTGGGTTCTTTTTATGAGGTTTGCTGAACATGCAAAATCTTAGCAGCAGTCTTTTCTTTAAAGTATAAGTCTTAACTTTTAACAGTGTAAACAGCAAGTGTTTTGCTTCTGAAGATATTTGTGAAGGTTTAAATACAGACATGTTTTTAGTGGAGTACAAATGGCCGCTGCAGAGTGCCTATCAGCTGCATGCTGCTGATGGAAGATCAAAAAGCGTCTGCTAAGCGAGATTCAGACAGACAGGAAGACCTGGAGCAGCAGAGAGAACTGAAGACAGATGGAGGAGCTCCAACCTGCACTCTGCATGCTCACTTTGACCTACTTTACTCGCTGTCTCTTTTTTCTCTGCGTCTCAAACTCTTTGCGATCCCCTTTCATGTAGCACAAGGAACCAATAAGTCTGAAGAAGGACTCCCAGCAGACACCAGCGCTGATTCCTATCTTTTCCTCCCCGTTTTGTCCATCAGAGCTGAGCATATCGCTGTCACAGCCTTGGCTAGTCAACCGAGCACTTTGTCTTTCATCTCCTATGTGACAATCTAACAATCTACTGTTTTAATAAGGGCTACATTCAGTTTGGCGCCACTGCAGAGAACCTAATAAGAGTTTCTGCCACAAAGGAATCCGTCATTATTAGCCTGTATTATGACTGAAACGTCGTATTGCTGCAAGATGACCACTAAAGACTTTTTGTTCTCTGAATGACTCTGTCTCCTTGTTGGCATCCTTCCACAAGAGATAGGATCTACAAGTTCTTCCTTGAGACATGTGTGCTCTTGTGTTATTGTTAACATATGTCCTGTGACGTCTTATTTGTTTGTGCTTTGTCCTGAAGATGAAATGCAGATGTGTTAATATGTTTATTTCTAGAGTAAATATTTGCAGTAGTGCAATGTACTTAAAGAGGGCCTATTCTTTTTTCCGTGCTTTTACTATAGTGTGTTATATATAGCATTATTTTAATAATCGAAAATTGGTTCCACATTGACGAGGTAAGGATCGTTGTGTTTGTAAGATATACAAATTAAAGGATATAATATTCTATAAGGATATCATTCAGTGATGAGAGCTTTTTAGTTTTAAACTGAAATATATTTGACCACATTTTCCTAATTTTCTTAAAACTTGTATTCCAAAGAGTTTTGTTTTTTTCTTTTGAAGCCATATTTTTGGACATTTCTTACACATTTTCCAGAGATTTTTAACACATTTTTTGACTTGACGTTATTTTGTATTTGAGTATTTTAAAACCGAAGTCATTCTACTTTTACTTAACTCAAAAATCTGAGTCCTTCTTCCACATTTGAATATTTGTCTCGGGGGGATTTTCTTTCTTTTTTCTTGCTCATATCCATGAAAATAGAAACAGCCACTGTTTAACTCCTAATTAAAGTACTGGAACATGCTTGAGGTACTTATTAACTAAACACATAGCAGTCATTCAAATCCTGTTGCTAAATTCTTCCGGGAAGAAACAATCTGGATTTGTTTTACAGTCTATTTTTAGCAGGTTTAATAATAAAAAGCCTGAAATCACATTCTCTGACATGTTGCTACTAACTCCCATATTGTTCTTTTCAAGTCCTGATTAAACCTGCTTACTCCTCTTTGTGAGTCAATTGTTGATTCACTTGGAACAATCAAACTGTCAGGATGTGTTTTAATGTCCACCGAGTCATTTGAAATACTCCTCCATTCCTCCCTATGTTGTGAACATGAGACAGAAAGCACTGCCTCAGTTAGTACGATATGACAGGAAATATGCCTTCCACATAAAGAAGGAAAATTCTCAACTATGCACCAAAAATCTGGTTTCATTTTATTCTGCGCCAGATGTTCTCTGAGGAAATGAATCACCGTTTTATCATTTAATCAATCAAATGTTGAAGCAGTCACCAGCTAACCGAGGGTTCTTCTCTCCGCAGACTACAGGACGGGGCCATGTTTCACCCAGGTGAACAACCAGATGTGCCAGGGCCAGCTCAGCGGGATCGTCTGCACCAAAACCCTCTGCTGCGCCACCATTGGTCGAGCCTGGGGCCACCCCTGTGAGCAGTGCCCCGCCCAGCCACACCCCTGCAGGAGGGGCTTCATCCCCAACATCCGCAGCGGAGCGTGCCAAGGTCAGATCAGAGAACTCAGTCACATAAGGCTTTATCACTTTCTCTTGCTGTTCCCTTTTTGGTGTGTAGCACTCAACATGTTTGGCTAATTTGAAGTTAATGTACCTGCAGGATACTTACTGACCTTCTACAATTAGTCAAATGATTCAAATAATTAACTAATGGCTAGCTGCAGTCATGTTTACATTTATTTTCTATTTTCTGGCTTATTTTAAGCTAATGTTTTATAAGGGTTTTGCTAGTTATGAAGATGGAACAGAGCTCAAAAGATCTGTACCAGACTGTAAAAATGTTCATTTCTGATTAAAGTTGGGCTTTTTAACATGTAAGTCAATAAGGAGTGACTCCCATTGAGCGTGCCTCATGTGGCCAATCAAGGAACTGCATTTTGTAGCCCCTCAGGTTTCTGATTGGTACAAATTACATTACATTAAATGTCATTTAGAAGACACTTTTATTCAAAGCAACTTACATACACTTAAATATTGTCAACATGCCTTCGGGAGTGATATGGGTTCAAGTATCTTCCCCAAGGACCCTTTCAACAGTACCTTATTCTCTAATTGCTCTCATTCGGTGCAAACAACCGCTAACGCCAAATTCCCTGTCTTCCAATTATTTTGTATTTTAGTATGTTGCGAAAAAACAGAGCTGAGTATGACCTGGCAGATCTTCTTCTTAACAGCGGTGAAAGAGGACACACATCTAAAAATGCATACACACAACATCTCCACGATAAAGACTTCAACCATTACTTTATCTGTCATCATCTCAGCTGCAGTTCCTCCCCACAACACCCTCGAGGTAGTGTTAACAACACGGCGGGTGTGTACATGTAGGACGGAGAGAAGCTTGTGTTTCCTCTTAAGGTCTTATTCAGCAGATGCTGTGGACATACATCTCCATATCCCTGTAAACATTGCACAGCTGTTCCCTCAATCACAGACCCATTTTAAGGGGGGGGTGGATCTCTAGGGGTAGATAGCAGGTCAACAGTAGATGTCACAGAATTGGTGTACATTATCTGAAAGCTTTTCGTTTAATCTTCAGGTTATAAATATGTAATAATTATAGTTTTTTGGTAAAATGTTGAAAGTTTACAAGGGCTTAGAACATTATGATGGAAGTATATGATGGATATCAATTATTACTACAATTATTGAGTTGATTCCTTGAGCTACACAGATTTTGTGAACATGTTTTACATAGAAAAAATGTGTCAATTCTTCTAAAATACTAAATTTAGGATTTATTGACACCTTAGAAAAACCCATGCTGTCATCTGATTAAAAAACTTGACATATTGAGATAATTTTTTAGCAATTGTAAGGAGATCACTTCTCTCAAAACTGCCCCAAAAGCCCCCTTATTATAAATTGGAGTGCCCTTGGTAATTATCAAAACATGTCTGTAAAGTGAAGACTCAGGTATTTTCATCAAGATAACTTGAGGTGAGAGGTTGAGGGCCCCTGCGAAATTGGCTTTTCAAGTGAGTTTTGCCCTAGCTGAAGATCAGCATAACTCAGGAGTGTTATTTAGCCGCATTCCGACAAAGCTAGCAGCACATAGTTGGCGCTAATAGACACCTTATGTAGTTTCATAAGATACTAGGAATGTAGCTTTAAAACTGAGCCTGTTACAGCCTCTGACAAAAAACAAACGCTGCAGTAGCTGAGTTTAAGATGTTGAATCAGCATGGGGAAAACACAGTGCTTTATGTCAGTCAATGATATCAGAGTAATGGTAGATGACTAAAAGGCATGCATTAGGAACATTATTTTATAAACTGTATTCACTCACAACAACAACACTTAACAAGGGACCAAAAGAGTGATACATGGAGATTATAAGAGAGACTCTGAGATAAATATGAACTTGGATTCACCTCCTTTCATCAACATTCCTGCCGCTGGTGTCCCAGACTGCCTCTGCATGCCTCTCTAATAACCTATGGCCCTGACCAGACTAAGCAATAAGACTGCATCAATATATGACATGTGTGGAAGTCGTGTCCCTCGTTAAACTGAACCCCGCCAGGCTCTCCTCGCCCGGACACACCCAGCAGCGCCCTGGGCCGACTGTGATGGTGGAGGCAACTTCAACAGTGTCACAGCTAAAGACAGTATACCTTGATGTGTTTATGATGGGAAATTATATGGGATTATCTGAACTGTTGTTTACATTCACCAAGAAAGTTATGGTGGCCTCATAGCACTACTTGTTATTGGCAGATGTGTTGACAGGGTGTACAAAGACCTGTTCCAAGTATGTGAATATTTGAGCACATCAGCCATTAGTCCTGCGATTCAAATAATAACCAAATTAAGTTTAACTAAAAAACAGGATAGTCAGTCCTGGATGTGTAATGAGGGAGATGTGGCCCTCTGTGCAGATCTGTACAATCTCATCGGATCAAAGCTCACAGTTGTAGAAAAACAAATGGAAAAAAATATGTCAGTAGTTTATGATTTGTTTTAGTTCAGGAATGTTTTCCCACTGGTTCCTAAAACTTGGGAGAACTTTTTTCTGAAGCTCAAAGGCTTGAAAATGAATGTTCTCTGTGTTTCCGTCTAGGTTTTTTTTATTACTTTAAGGTCTTATAAAAATGTATAAATGAATGTGACATCCCTGCAGCGTAGCCGATAGCTTAGGTTGTCCGCAAAGGAAAACATTCATATTACTTAATTATGCATTACAGGGTTGAGGTTATACAGGAGGACACCAGACGAACCAAATAAATAACAAAACGATGCATTATTATTAGGGCTGTCAAACGATTACAATTTTTAATCAGATTAATCACAGCTTAAAAATTAATTAATCATGATTAATCACCATTCGAACTATGTCCAAAATATGCCATTTATTTATGTATATTGTTGTGGGAATGGAAAGATAAATGAAAGAAGGCGGATATATCCATTTAACATACAGTATCTATGTTTATTATAACATTTTTCTGCGTGTCAAAATGAAAGACAACCCACACACCTATCAATCATCAAACCGTGGGGTCTTAATTCATTACGTGTTGATTTCTATCAACGGGGGAGTACTTCAGGAAAGTCGACAGAGGGGGGGGGGGCGGCGGCGGCTAGTGGAGTACTTCGTGACCACAGAGTGTGAACGTTGTGATCAGCTGTTTTAGCGCAGTTCTCCAGTGAAGGGGGGGGGAGTCTCCCTCCGCAGCCGGTTGGCGTAGTTTTGGCACAATTCCGTTGTACAGACCGACGTTAACAGCAGCCCTGTCTGTGCACACGGAGACCGATTCTGTCGTCCGGTGATCTAACCGCCTTCTGGAAAAGCTTCAAAAGTACGTCGGTACGCAAATGAGCTTTGTGACACAAGTAACGGTACGCATTTCAGAGAGATTACGCACATAACCTGCGTACCAGTTATGTGTACCCCTGTACTACAGCAAAAGTATTCTCCGTCGGGACTTCCTGCAACAACACCACGCCGTTATCAAAGATGTTCTATTGAGAAGACGATCACTACGTGACAAAAGTTTTCAAAACCGTGGCTACTGAAATCAATCTTACTAACTGCTGTCTGTGCAATTTACTACGCGCGAGTTGGCAGACTTTATTTTGCTTACTTTAACATCATTTTTCATGGTGGGGCTAAGCCATTTCTGGTGTAGCCTACCCCAGCCATACCGTGGCGCTGCCACTGGTGGCACGTACGGGGCGGGCCATTCTGCACATGCGTTAAATGCGTTAAATATTTTAACGCAATTAATTCAAAAAATTAATTACCGCCGTTAACGCGATAATTTTGACTGCACTAATTATTATGCTTTCAGCTATCCAGCATTGATTAAAATCCAACACTCCACCTTATACAGACGTTAGATAAATGTAAGAACATTGTGATGATAATGCTTCACTTTCAACCTTTACTTCTTTACAAATTATTTCGGGGGAAATAGGTCTGTAATCAGTATTCAAAAAATCACATCTGGCATCAGTAACTGGTTTGTATTTAGCTCCACTACTCTGTGACTCATAATCCTCTGCTCTGACTTTCTTTTTCACCATCTCTCTCTCCTTCTTCCTCTCTCTGAATCTCTGTTTCTATGTTTCTCCCCTTTGAGTTTCTTTCTTTCACACACATTAAAAAATGTAATCGCCAGAGAGCCTGGAGCAACTTCTCTCTGGCAGAAGTACAAAGCACACCTGACCACAAACCAAATGTCCAGGCTCCAAATCAGGACTTTGGCTGGAAGATGCTTTAGTTCTTTCGTTTTTCTCCCTTTAGCCTTTTGGCAGAGAGCGTTTTAAACACTAGACTTCTTAAAAAAAAGCAAAGATTGATTGATTTACAATGCCAGGGTCCTGCTTAGTGACCCACTGTGTATGTGGTATGCGTTTTCCAGGGAAGAAAGGATCAGAGATATGTTTCTTACAGTAACCCACCCTATGTCATATCCCCAATAATTGGGAAAATGACTCACATTGAAAGCTGGGAAAAACCTACATTTAAAAACTCATTTCCTGGTCAAACAAAAGCAGGAGTGGGAATTTATAGAAGTGGAATTAGACATCACAGACAGCGCCAAGTTACTTCTCGCCTTTACTTCATTCCCTTCGCAAAGATGTAAAAAATAAGAATGTAAAACAGTGTTTTTAAGACTGAAAGCATGCCAGAAACATAATATCTTTTAAAGAATGCACTATGTCTGAAGTTAGTCTTGTCTTAGTCTTTGGTGTATTACCAAAATACTTTAGGTTGCTGCTCCAATGGTTTACAGATGCCAGTTATTATTATCACATTTAAAGCTTATGCCTCTTCTTACAAATGTCCTTTCCTTCCTTCTCTTAGATGTGGACGAGTGCCAGGCTGTGCCAAATCTTTGTGCCGGAGGAACTTGCATCAACACCGTGGGATCCTACGAGTGTAAATGTCCCGCAGGCCACCGTCAGAGTGAAACCAGCCACAAGTGTGAAGGTAAGTCTCAGCTAGAAAAGACCAGGAGATTTACCCATTTAACTACATTAAGGACATTGGAAGTAGACATTTTTGTCACACTCAAGTTAACCACATTCCAGTACAACAAGACGGAAAACAAATCTCTAGCCAGGTTAGCTTTGTTAGCCATTGTTAGCTAAACCAGTTGCTTGTGGTTCACACACATACACTGCAACAACATCTCTACACATAAAACTTGGCATGCTGTGTGTACGACAGATTTATTGTGACATAAATAAGGCAGAAGTCTTATTAAACACGATATTACTGTGACTACCCAATCCGCATCCCTACCCGGTCCGCATTGCGCATGTGCGAGATGGTCCGCCATATTGGACAACTCCATAAGGCAACCCAAATAGGACACTTGACACAGACGGCTGCCCAATATGCATTGCGCATGCACGAGTTACATCCATTTCTCATTTATTCTGTACTTAACCCAAGAAAAGGACCCAATAAAAAGAGCTATTAAATAATAGTGAAGTCACGTTGTAATGACAATAACTCATCTCTATCTGTTTTTTTAATTTTCTTTTTCTGCTTTGCCAAACGCCACTGTGTCAAGTGTCCTATTTGAGTTGCCGCATGGAGTTGTCCAATATGGCAATGCGGATCGGGTAGGGATGCGGATCGGGTAGTCACAATTACTACAGCTTTCACAATGTTTATGCGCTTGGCGGCCATCTTAGATTTTGGTGATGTTCTCCTCACTTTTCCGAGGTGGGAATACAACTTCAGGAGGGATTCCAGTTAACATTTCAACTTCCAAGGACAAACTGAACACACAAAAAGCTCTGGTCAATAAAAAAAATATTGGCGGCCATCTTTGATGAGCTATACCATTATTGTCTCATTTCTAAAAAGATGATAAGTGACAAGGGAATAGTTTAATTAATATAAAGATAGATAACGCAGGGCAGTGTGAGGGTCTACCACACAGATCTTACAAGTAAGCCAATCAAGTGTTAGGGCTAACACACATGTGTCAAACTCAAGGCCCGAGGGCCAAATCAGGCCCGTGGTGGATTTAATTTCGGCCCGCAGGATAATTTCTAATTTCTATTAGATCTGGCCCGCCGGTATATTGCACGCACACCTTCACTCCATCCTGAGGGTCTCCTCCGCTCAGAGCCTGAGCCCAAACATTGATGACCTTGCACCCAAGATGAGATGCCAAGTATCTGAACTAGCATCACAGAGCAGCAACCTGAGTTTAATGGATGTTTCCTTCTGCACTTTTCTTCTCACGTCAACAGGGCATGTTTGGTTTTTTCTTTGAGGGAAATAGTTTTTTTAAAGCTGTTGTTGGCCTGTGGAAAAATGTAATCATAAGAAATGAAGCTGCTGATAGAGCCATAAGAAATGAATGCAACTGATTATTTCATGTTTAATGTTGTTTTTATAGGCAATAATGTAAGCTTTGTTAGTTCCAGGTTTAATATGTGCAATAAGTTTAATAAGTTCAATAAACATTGAACCTGTCCGGCCCTCGACTGCCCATTTTTTAATGTTGGCCCACTGTGTATTTGAGTTTGACACCCCTGGGCTAACACTAACGTCTCTACTAAACATAGTAAAACATAATTACAAAAGCCTTCACATTGTTTTAAAAGTCAAATGTTTAATTGTTAACCTAAAAAATGCTACCTAAATTGTTGATATCAAGCTAAGATAACTTAGCTAATGTTAGCATTTCGAAGCTACAGCCTTCATATAACTTTTTTGATTTAATAATGAACCAAGTATCACAAAATGGTTAAACTTGACTTGAATGCAGCTACATGAGTCTATTGTTTGTTTGTAACCTTTATTTAACCAGGTGAAGCCCCTTGAGATCAAAAGATCTCTTTTTCAAGGGTGACCTGCAGGACATTAGTTACACATGTAACATAAAAACAACAGAACAACAATAAGGATGACAAACAACATAATGTACAGGGTACAGTTTACAAACTCTATTTACAGAGACAGGTACCATGAGTATCAAACAGCATGTCAGCCAGCTGAGTTTTAAAATGATGCAGGAGAACCAAAGTGCTCAGTTTTAAACATGTTTGCAGACTGTTCCAATTTAGTGGAGCTGCACAACTAAAAGCTTTCTTCCCTAAGACAGTCCTAGCACTTGGCACATTTAATAAAACAACATCATGAGATCTCAGGCAATAAGTACTTTCAATTCGTCGAGAGATCAGAGAGTAGATATAAAAAGGTAGTTTACCCAACATGGCTTTGTAAATGAACATGTACCAATGACTGAGCCTCCGTACAGTTAGTGAAGGCAGACCTGCCTTGGCATACAGGGTACAGTGATGCGTGAGTGCTTTACAGTTAGTAACAAATCTCAGGGCACTGTGATAGGCGGCATCTAACTTTTCCAGGCAATGGGCAGGTGCATTCATATAGATCAAATCACCATAGTCCAGCACGGGTAAAAAGGTCACAGTGACTAGCCTTTTCCTGGCTTCAAAAGAGAAACAGGACTTGTTTCTGAAAAAGAAACCTAGTCTAACCCTCAGCTTTTTAAGCAGGTTATTGACATGAAGTTTAAAAGTAAGACAATCATCAAGCCAGATACCTAGGTATTTATAACTGGTAACCACTTCAAGTACTTGTCCTTGCATAGTAACAATATCCAAAACAGGCTCTGGTGTCTTTTTAGCTTTTGAAAATAGCATTAACTTGGTTTATCAACATTTAAAATAAGCTTAAGTTCAGCAAGCTGAGTCTGAATAATGTTAAAAACAGCCTGTAATTTAACACCAGCCTCCTGAATGGAGGGACCTGCACAGTACATCACGGTATCATCCGCATAAAAATGTAAAGTAGCTTCATCCACATTTTCACCTAAACTGTTGATATATATGGAGAATAAAAGTGGACCTAAAACAGAACCTTGAGGAACACCATTAGCAATGTTTAACCACTCAGAAGACAGCCCATCAAAGTGAACACATTGGGACCTTTCAGAGAGGTAGTTCACAAACCAACCCACTGCATGGCTGGATATGCCGATACTGAGTAGCCTCTGCTTTAAGATGCGATGATCGACGGTATCAAACGCTTTGGAAAGGTCAATAAATAGAGCTGCACAACTCTGCTTTTTGTCTAAAATACTCGTAATGTCATTCACCACTTTCATTGTGTTTCTATAAACTTATCACCAACTGAATAACGATCCAGTGTAACTTTTATTAGGTTTTGTTGAAGTGAGACATGGTCGCTGCATTTTATTACAACTCTAAGGGTTCTGCAGGGATCCGTTTACAAATCTCTACGGGGAGTTTGAAAAATGACGACATGTTCAGAGTTAAAGAAGTTTGGCAACACACACACATGGAGGATTCACATTACAATGTGTTGATTGGCTGGAATTTAAACAATGCCCAGGCTAAACAGTGCGATCGTTAGCCAGGCAGGGGTTGTGTCCGTTGGACTGAAGCCGATATGTTCTTAGTCTTTAGAGAGGATTACACAAAGCTCTTAAACTGTTTCAGCCAGATGACATCTCCTCTACTGAACAAGAACCAAGGCCAAACTGGATATCGTAGTGTATGACTTATTATCTGAATTCTCCTGGCATGGTTGCACCACATACAGAAAGAATAACTAGCGTGTCCACTGTCCACTTCAGATTCATGGGAAGCAATTATCATGACACACCAAAAACTGATTTATGGATGACTTCACTAAGTAGTCCCAGTTTCAGTTGTGGTTTTGGGTAAATGTGAGGAGAGAGTGGGTGTTTTAAAGAGTTGCTGAGCACCGAAAATAAGAGATTTAGGTGTGTAGCCACATTCCAGCACTAAGGAGGTCGAGCTGTTTGACTGCAAGGACACATTGAGACAAGGTAGAAATAAAGCAGGAGTTTAGGATTAGGAAGTTCTGTAACGTTCTATCCCTTCATGGTCATTTTTTAGCGTAAATTACACACACTAAGCATCTTTCCAACACTTTAGACCCTTTACTTATCCTCAGTTGTTCACTTTTTCATTATACACAGTACAGGAGCTAAACATTAGGCCTGAAGGTCAGAACATGAGAAATATGTCATTTAAAGTTTCCCAAAACCAATAATGAGACCCAACATTTTAATTAATCTGAAAACACAGCAAACCACAATGGCATTCAGAGACGGTGCATTAAAGTGATCTTTGGAAAGTCCCATTTTCAGAGTTGTGAAGTTGTTACAACGACTTCAATGAGTTTATGAGCTTTATCCTGTAATGACGAAACCAAGTCCTACAGACTGAGCTACTGCCGCTTTCAAATGAACAAGTTTAACCTAAAGAAAAGTCTGGAAATTATAAATATCGTATATACAGTTTCCCAAAACCAATGATGAGACCCGATATTCAACTTTGTCTGAAAAACACAGATAACTATGATGTTGCAGTCAAGTGCTCTTAGCCCAGTTTCCAGAATTGGGAAGTCGTTCTTCCGACTTCGATAATTTTATGAGCTTCATGTCGTAGTGCGGAAACAAAATGAACAGTTTAAAGCAGATGTGTTGTATTTAGAGAGCTGCTCAGAAAGTTTATAAAACATGTTAATATTTGTTTCTGAATTAATGGGGGATGTTTATGAGAATTGTTTCCACTCAAGACCCCATTTTATGATTATAACAATATTAAGTGATAGCAGCACAAATGCCCTATATGCTATATTTTAAAACTATATTGTAGGGCCATACCTATACAAAACATGTCTGTGAAGTTTTTTGCTTAAAATACCAAACAGATCCCCCGTTGTAGCCATGCCTCATACTGCTCAAACCCCTCTTTTGAAGCCCTGTTAGAGAAACGCAGATTTTGGGTCCTTAGCTTGAAAAAAAAGAAAGAAGAGGAGGCGGAGCTAATGCCTGATCAGAATTCTACCGGAGATAAAGTTAAATTCGGTTGTGATAAAACGCCATCCTGTTTAAACCACGTCAAGGATTATCTCTGAAACAGTATGGAGCTCAAATGCTTTTTCTCTTG